ACACACACACACACACACACACACACACACACACACACACACAGAGAGAGAGAGAGAGAGAGAGAGAGAGAGAGAGAGAGAGAGAGAGAGAGAGCGAGAGAGATTTAATTACAAAAAAAAAAAAGACAGAGAGAGAGAGACACAGAGACAGACAAACCGACCGTCAGACAGACAGACAGACAGATGGACGAACGGACGGACGGACTGACAGACCGACAGACAGCTAGACCGACAGACAAACAGAGAGACATACAGAGCTGCAATGGTTGAGCGGCTTCCCTCTTAAGGTCACGGGAGCCGGTTCAAGTCATTGCAATGTAGAGACAGATTGTGGTGGAAGGTACGGGTGGATGGGAGGACGGGCGAACGGACAGACAGACAGACAGACAGACAGACAGACAGACAGACAGACAGACAGACAGAGCTGCAATGGTTAAGCGGCTTCCCTCTTAAGGTCCCAGGAGCCGGTTCAAGTCCATGCAATGTCGTCATGGATATAATTGTAGAACCGATGTGGATGATATGCCATGACAGTTGATTATTGAACTTCAGTCATGATTGGTATTCATAGTTTTTCAGAGTTCATGTCTCTTGAACGTATCGTGTAACTTCAGGCATGGTAATCGAGCCGTGGATGTCAAGGATGTCAACTGAGATGATACTGACTAGAATTCAACCACAGATTTCTTTTTACTGGGCATGTCCCAACCAGGTACCTAGTAGGACGTGAGCAGGTCTTTCCGACCACATACTTGGGTGCCACATCTGGTTATGCGGGTCAGTTCCCAGATCTCTCCACCAGACCTCATGATCCCTCATAGCCATGGGTTACAAGGCGTACAACGGGTGCGGCAGTCAGAGAGCTCTTGGAAGGTGAATAAGAGAGGAGGAATTCTAATCCGGAGAAACTTTGGGGTTACAGAACAAGGGAGAGAGGCAGTAGATTGGAGTGGCAATAGGCCAGGACAGCAAGCGCACTGCCACTATAGAGCCCAAGCCTTGATCCGCCTCCTCAGATCGCACCCCTACACAGTCAGACTCGAGCAGGCGGGGGCCTTTCCTCAGTGTCACCACTCAGACCAGGGGTATAGCAAAAACGAGTTGCTCGAGACTTTCGATTACCCTTTCCTCAGTGTCACCACCCAGAACAGGGGTATAGCAAAAACGAGCTGCTCGAGATTTTCTATCACCCTTTCCTTTGTGTCACCACCCAAACCAGGGGTATAACAAAAACAAGCTGCTCAAGATTTTCTATTACCCTTTCCTTGTGTCACCACCCAGACCAGGGGTATAGCAAAAACGAGCTGCTCGAGATTTTCTGTTACTTGATGAACATCTCTGGTAGCTGCCCTTCCATCTTCCAACCTCTCAGAACTCCCTGCTTGACCCAGGTTGTCCACAGGGAGTCGGAGCTCTTGAAGACACATCCCTGCGGGTCCGTAATTGACCTATTCCCGAAGAGGGGCTGGTGAAGGACCTCCTCGTAGCGGGTTGGGGAGGGGCGATCTGGCAAGGGCAACTGTCCCAGGACTTGAGCAGGGTAATCCAGAAGTCATCCTTGGCCAGGTCCTGCCTGATCCCCCCCCTATCCCCTTGGTCCTTTGGGTGCGCCCGAGCCCTAGGCAGCGCCCAAGACCGATCCTCGATCCAGATCAGAGGGTCCACCTTGCCTGGCGTTGGCGGGGCCAGTCTATGGATCTGTTCCCGGCCCAAATCCCTCCAAGGGAGGTCTGGGGTGATTATCAGCCTCTCTTGAGCCATTGGATGGCCAGGGCCTTGGTTTGTGTGATCGGGTCCAAGATTCCTAGCCCACCTCTGGTCTTAGGTTGAACGAGGGAGTCCCAGGCCACTGAGTCTTGAGATGACATTGTGTCTTCCATGGTCCCCCCTCCACAGGAAGGCAGCCAGCTGTCTTTTCAGGCTACATGTCGTGTCTTTGCTCAGGGCCCAAACGGCGGACTTATGCCAGATGGAGGCCAGCACCACATTGTTAATGACCAGTGCTCTCCCAAATATGGATGTGCGTGTCTGTTTTTCCAGCCCTCCATCTTCTCCAAGGCGGGCTTGGAGGTCCATACATTGTTGGCAGTTGCCTTACCGAGGGCAGGCAAGGCAACTCCTAGGACTCTAATCTGGGCCATAAGGGGCATCAACTTTACCCAGGGTTGCTCCGGTGGCCGCCTCCCAGAGAAATTACAGATTAACAGTGAATGATTGGACATGCCTCGACCTCAGCCTCCGGCTCCGTCCCCCAGTGGACTTCCCAGATCCCATTCGCCTGCATGCCTTTGCCTCTGGTAGAAAATGCCTGGTATGGCTGTGCCTAAGCGAAGGTACACATCACAGACTGTAGAGCAGAAGGGCGCACTGCTCAGAGGATAGACTCATAGGGAGAGGCAGCTAAGGACAATTTTGCCTCGTAGGCTGCCTACTAAGTAAGCTACACGGAGGAGCTAGGCTGATGAGGTGGCACTGCGGACACAATACAGAGAACACTGGAAGACCGAAGGCACCAGCCCCTCTGATGCCCCCCCACAAGACACTGCGCCCTCTGGCCTATCCACAAGCTGCTCCACAGCATTAGCAGTCGCGCGTCATTACAGCACCATGGTACTCCTACATCACAGCATCATCATGCTCTTACAGAATACATGAAGCCAAAGCCGGGTAATGGTCCTGGTACACTGTTCATGATTTTGTATTCTGTTTACTCTGAGTACGGGACGCTGGACCCGGTTTCCAGCAGGTGCAGTTCCCACCAATGGACAGGAGCCATCTGATGGGAGAGTAGTATCACAGGAGGATGCTTTTACCACCCCCTGTGGCACCTCCCCACAGATGTTAAAACTTAGAAACATTAGTAATAAAAATAATGTTGCTTATCACTGGCAAGCAGGAGAGGACGTAGATCAATTTAGAGAAATCAGTTAGTGAGCCGGGGGGGAACCGGCGCCCTGTAGACAGTCTGCTCGTTATGACACCCTTCCCTCTTTACTGGTCGGTTAGAGAGAAGCAGGGCAGGTGGATGGGAGACTAGCTATGTGGTACATAGTTGCTGCAGAAATCACCATCCTGCTGCATTGTTGAGTTCTGCGGGTTGATCTTCCGAATCAGAAGTCACATACCGAAGAGTGGGATAAGCGGGACCTTACCATCCATCATACAATGTGCCGGCCTCCCCCAAAATGCCTGTTCCTGTGCAGTCAGAGCAGACCATGTTTTTCTTTGAGTGCAACTATTTTGGAAATTTAAGACGTTTGCTTATAAGGAAATGTCTGATACTGTTACGTGGTAAGAGCATTTCGATTCAGGCCTGGGCCAATAGCGAAACGAGCAGGCCACTTTGAAAAGGACCAGTTGCAGGCTCACGAACCTTGGAAAGGAGCTTCGTCAACTTAGGCACGTAAGAACTGGTGGTTTAAACCACCAGTACTTCCGAGGCACTTTTCTCCCGAGCTGGAAACGCCCTGCGGGCCAAAAACAAAGCGAACTGGTGGGGGCCTCCTTTTGGCTGGCGACGCCAGCCATTTTGCTCCAGAGACCGAGGCCCGAAAGTTGTGCCGGCATGCAAGCTGCGTATTTCGTTCTTTGGCTGGGAAACGTACTAGTGGCTTAAACCACCAGTACTTCCTAGAGTCGTGCCCGTTAACGCGCCACGATTTTAGGAAACGTACGGGCTACTACAGGAGCGCCCAAATTCATCCGACTAGAAACGTTTCTACTCTATTTTTTTTGCGGCCGATAGCTGAGTTCAAATGACAAATCGAGGGCCAGGTGCAGGGTGAAGAGCCCCCCCCCCTCCCAACCTCCTGCTCAGTCAATCCCCTGGACCCCAGGGTAATCAATGCTGGCAGGATCGTACCACACTTTTCTGATGTGATTTGAATCTTGTCTATGTAAGGGACGCTGGACCCGGTTTCCAGCAGGTGCTGCTCCCCACCAATCTCCTGCATCTGGCCGTGTTTTAAGCAGAGGTGCAGAAAAGCAGTTCAATATCTTTTTTTTTTTTTTTTTTTWTAAAKYTWTWTTCTTCTCTCAATTTCACCTCACACTACCTACTTACCACTACTCCTGATTGTAGGCATACGGGGAACCCCGTAGCAGGCAGAACCGTGTTCACCCGAGAACATGCGGGGGCTGCTCCTGACCTGCAGGCGGGCGATACCGGCTAGGGGACAGCCGGTAGCATCTGCACCTTATCCTCTCTAATCTACGAGTTCTGTATTTTGAATATCATCTCCCAAAAAATTCTGACAACTCTTTTTTCTCCTGTAACTGCATCAAGGGATACCAATTGTGGACATGCGTCCCATTGTTTTTGAACCATCTGACACTTGCCAATAATGATTTAGCACTCCACACTTTTTTTTACCAATCCCGACAGATCAGTTGGCGAATGGCTTTCTTCACCCGTTGAGTGAGTAGCCGTAACCATGAAACCGCCCCAGATCTTGTTGTCTCATTTAGCTGTCTTGTGGGAAAGTTCATATGGGATCTCTTCACTTTCCCGCACACTGTTTCAGATGCTGTTGGATATGGAGTCGTCGAATCGTAATAATGTTGCCGTCCCGAACCTTGAACTGCAGCTCATGACGACAACCGGCACTTTGCATTGTTCAGACACATAAGTCGAATAACAAATCCGAACGAAAGGAAAAGGCGAAGGACTGATCGAGAGCTCAAAGAGTGTGATCTGAGGAGGATGGCAGTCTGGCAGAACTGCGATCTTGTGCGCGATACACGTGGTTAACAGGGGATGTTCTTTTAGTGTATTTTTTTGCTGTTGTTTTGCTCCCTTTTTTTTGCCTGTTTAATTGAATGACGTCTGTACTGCAAGCCCATGAGACATCCGGCTGTTATGGCTGAGATCACCGGTTCAAGTCCTTGTGGACACGGATTTGGGGGGTCTTGGCAAACATACTGAACATAGAGTTTGGCGGCTCACGCCACTACTCAGCACATGCACAAATGACCAAAAATATGGCGGTGCACCTTCCCATGCTCTAGGGGAAGATTGATTCTCCTTTTGCACGTTTGGTGAGTAGTGGAGTGAGGCCCTTTGTTTGACCGTTGTTTCAAAAGGTTTTCACTATGTCACTCGTGGTGACGTGGCAAAACCAATGACTTTTCGGCCCTCCGTTAATTCTCCCTCAAGCACCACTCATGAGTCATGAGCCATTGGCAATTGAAGTCATGGAGATGCACAGCAAGTTTGCCAGGACAAAAGCATTTCTCTCCCATGTGCGGTGGTACTGTGTTGTCAGACTTGAGTAGCAAAAGGTGAATGGCACCGTCTTAGCAGCAGAGCATACTCACACTAGGTTGTTTGCGACAGAGATCTGCACGTAATTGTGGTCGGATAGATCCAGGTTAGGCTGGGGTTGCGACCAGATACATCCGGAAAAGTCCTAGTGCTAGTATGGCCTGAGGGAAGCTCTCGCTAATAATAGAAAGGAACTGTCATCTAGCGAAGATAGGCAGGAGATAACCTAAAATGCCCATGTTCTTTCTGTGTTCTGCGCCCCTATAATCGAGCAAGCCCTTCTTCTGCTTAGACAAACAGAAACAAAACCATTTCAGGGAGCATGTGGTGAGGGAGATGATGTAGGCCATGACAGTAAAGCTCAAATCATCTTCTTCAATTCTTTTCCGTTGTGCGTAATCTCTTCTCAGAAGAAAAATCCCAAGAACTTGGACACGGTCCCACTTGCCCATATTTTTCCATTCCTTGCCACCAATAGACAGAATACAGAAGCCATCTGTGGGGCAGGTAACTTGGCCACGGTCCCACTTGCCCATATTTTTCCATCACTTGCCACCAATAGACAGAATACAGAAGCCATTTGTGGGGCAGGTACGACTGGAGGATGCTTGTATCAACCTTAGTAGTACCTCCAGCAGATGTTCCAACAAATAAATAAACGATCTCTGGTCAGCCAAGCTGGACGTTGACAAGTTGAACGGCATGCATAACCTGATGCCGGAGTGCCAAAAAGCCTGAAAATTTGTGAAAATGGAAAATAAAAAAGAAAAGGGGGGGAAGGAGGGAGGAGGGCGGAGGGAGGAGGGCGGAGGGCGGCGGGTGGGAAGGGAAGGGAGGAAAGGCAAAAGCCACGTCCGTCGCCGTTGCCGCCCTCCATCGGCACATGTGTTGCAATGCTCATGAACCACAAAAATACAACAGCCTACGAACTCACCACGACATACGCAGACGGCCGCCCAGGCAAATGGCTATGGCAGCGGAAGGGACAACCGAGATTTTTTCCTGTGGGAGCCAAAGTTGTCATAGGCGAGGACTCCAAACAAAAAGGGCACAGGGGTCCCTCGCCTGAGCCACAACGGCAAAGTCCTGCACACCAGATGCAGGGCGGATGCCCCCGCCTGACTGGGCAGGAAGTAAACAGAGCAACCAACCGACTCCAGCTGGCACATCCCGAGCAGATCCAGTTGGC